GACATCTCTGACCATTTCGGTTTCAGTGCCGTTACAAATAACCCTTTTCGGGAAGAACACTTTCCTCAGTGTCAATTGGTGGTGCAAATTGTGTGGCATCGCCGCCCTCAGCTAGTACTTCCATGCGCAATGCCGGTGGTTGATCAATAACTGTCGCAGGTGGAAATACGGTTTCTGTCGGTCGGACGGTGTGATAGAGTTTCAGCTAGTTGTAGTGGACGGTGAGTACATCCGCTGGCGGCCGTTATTGGTCGCGGAGAACATAAACGTTGAGTGAGCGCTAGTGGACAACAATATACGACCCCTGCCACGGTTGATGGAGTTTCGGAGATGTACCTGGCACGGAGCGTAACCGATAAAGAAACACTAGGTCTCCTCAGGCGTACCTCGGGCCCTGAGCTCCTCGGGAGTAAACCGATTTCTGGTGTTGGTCTGGACCGAAAAGATTACTGAGCGGTCCGAAAAGTTTCAGAGAGGCAATGTTGAAGCCCGCGAAAGAAATTGTTCATGCCAATCATTTTGGCTGGTGCTAACGGTGACTGTATTTCTTCGAGTAGGCGGAATTCGTTTTCGACACGGAGGGGAGCTGGAAGGAACCCTGTAGATGAGTGGACCCGGGCGCAGTAGACCAGCAACGTTGTGTCCAGATATTGATTCTGTTCATCCGAATGATATCGTTCAATGACGGCTTGAAAAATGTTCTTTAGCTTGCCGTCGGTACGTTCGACAAGGCCGTTACATCAGTGACTGACCACATTGTAAACGAGTTATCCATTAACAAGCTCTCCAAATGGAATGCAGATAGAAAATGCTCATCTGTTACTCTTCCTTCATTAGCTTGGAGTCGCATTTTGCGAGATACCCATTTGGCTTTGGGGAGGAGTTTGCGCCTAATAATAAAGTGAGTATGAATAAGGATTTCTTTGCTTGTATACTCAAACCACTAAACCACGACAAATTCATTGAGACGACTGATTTTATGCACAGAAGGTGGACCACATTGCTGGAAACTGGCAACCTAAGTCCTGGGGGGCTGAGTGGCGAACCACATGGCTCTGCTGGGTTGGGCATGGTATTGAATCGGATGACAGCAAAACTGCCTACTACCAAAGTTGGCTGGCGGTAATGGGGCTCGAACCTCGGAACATAGCATTCAGATGGCACCAATGACTGTGATTAAATCACTGCACCATCACCACCCAACCCATTAAGAGCCATTAATGATTTTTATCTACTGAATCTANCACGAGAGAGAATGGATCTCATTCGTTGACTACTTGGTTTAAGTGTGCCTACACTTACCGGTTTGTTTGACGTCAAAATTACTGGATGTGACACTCACTCGTCACAATTAGTTCGCGTGCCGGACCTCGCCAGACAGTGAGAGTGCTTCGTTAGTGTGTGGTTCACCCCCGATTGTTGGAAATAAATAAAAATTCCGTTATCGATACTACGAGGTCTTCAGTTGATAACATAATTTCTCACATGACCATTAACCGTAAAACCTCTCTTAGGTGTAAACGGCTTCTTAAATTCCTCTGTACACTTTTGGATAGGTCTGAGAACAACGAAAACCAGTCACAACTTTCAAACACTAAAAAAACAATCGCATCTTTTGACAAGCAATGGTTCTCACAAAATCTGCATTTAACGGTTCGTGAGGTTGCACGCAAGACTGAGACAAGGCGAAGAACAAATGAAAAATCTGATTCCGTGAATAGGTATCAGAGGACATCGGATCCTTCACCGACTGAGACAACTACCGTCCGTTTTCCCGATATACATGCATTCGTGGGTAGGAATCGACGAGCACTGTGCATACATCCCACACACAAATGGCTATCTCCTTTCAAAACTGGCTCAACCTTGCCGGGATTTGCTGTTGCACCGAAAAAGACATGTTCCACAAAAAAGGTATGTTTACATGAGCAAAAAATACACAATGTTGCTTCCTACTAGACTATTTAACTATAGATTCCCAGCATGGATTGAGATCAGTTGTTACCCATAAATGCTGTACTTTTTCTTCCTAATAGATTGTAGACAGAGTGGTTTGTATGAAGGTTTTCTTTGTGACAGAATGAAATGAACATAGAGGCTGTTCTGTTCTCCGTTATCGCGCAAGTTCTCACTCTCACCTAGTTCCGTATTCAAATCGTCTGTTCAGAGATCACATCTTATCTGGGGAATCGGAATTTGGTATAACTTGGGAAATTTGTGGAGTTTATTCAATCTTCCTAAACCGCATTCTTATAAGAAAACGATACGAAGGCCGTGCCTGAATTGTGAAGATAGCGATGAAGACGGAAACCTGGAAACTTTTAAGTACCTCTTGGGCGTAAACCGACCAGAAGGCTATCGCAGCCGTCTCGTTTAGATGTCGATTGTCAATAAAGGGGATTTTATTCCACATCCTCAAGGACAGACTGGATGTCTAAAATGTGATCTCCATAGACTGTTGAGGCAGTGACAAAAGGTACTGGATTCTTTAAATTCAAGTTAAAGAAAAATAAAGTCCCTACAGCAAGTAATAAATGCGCATCTTTTATAAAATCTCTCAAATTTATTGGCAATGAAAGCAATGGAGACTATCTTTCATTGGCAATCAAAATTGTAGCTTCTGATGGCTCGCATCTCATTTTTGAACAGAGTTCTTGATCACCTCTTACATTCCCAAATTGCAAATTTCATACATAAGATTTTCGAAAGTTAGGGATCCAGTGAACTGTAAAAAGAAACTGCTTCTAATAATCCCGTTCTTTTGATCGTCGCTGTGTTCTTCTTTCAGATTGAAAGTCGCTTGTCACACACGTCCGCGGAACCCAAACAAACCACCCCCGTCAACAATCATCTACCCTTACTAAATGATTCCAATCGATCCAACTTGGTTGAGAGTGCGAGCAAGTGCACGATTGAATCTGTCAAACCAGACCCATCCGTTCCCCAGTTGCATCCAAATTTGTATTCCTTTGAGAAGGGTTTGGAACAAGTTGAAAGTATTGGACCAACTTTGGATTCAGTTGGACATGGCCGACTAGAAGCCATTCTCGAACCAGAAGAACTCCAAGAAATGGAATCTGGAGTCACTAACACGGATGAAACAACACGTGGTAAAGTGTTTCCAATAAAACAAAACGATGAAATTTTGTTCAAACAAAGTGAGTTCCGAAAAACCTCTAAAATGCATGCCAATGTATCTATTAGTACGCTTAATCAAATAGTTGTAGAGATACATTGGTACCCTGTGTGGGAGTCACCTCGTATCTTTGGGTTTTTTATACACAAAAGATTTAAAACAGTTTCAGCGGTGATTTCAAAAGACTATGTCCGAGTACAGCCTCAACAAAATTTAAAGCTAAATTTTGTAATTCAGGATCAACTAGAATTTATTGCTCAACGTTATTTTTACAACTGAGCTTGGTTGGTGCTCGCCTCTCTGCAATAACGCGATAAGAAATATGTAGAAAATTTGCTCTACTCCAGGGACCAATACCTTTTTCCAATTTTGCTTCCCTTAGTAACTCCCAAGGATAATCTGTCAAATCAAGAAGGTCCGGTCTGCCCTCATTTACCGGCGATTGACTCCTTTAGCGAAAAAAGTAAAGGAAAGAATGGAATCAAAACGTCCGATCAATTAACTGAGGACCAATCAACTCAAAACGACACGGCTAACAAGCCTTCTGTGAAATGCAAAAACAAATCACGGGAGAATATGGATCATAAATCCGAGGCACCTACTGTTCAATCGGCTACACCAGCCATCCAACTCCAGACTCCGTTGGTTAACGCGGTGGCAAAAAGAAAAGCTCTGATGGACAGTTTGAATATACCTGTAGTTTCCGGTAGGTCACCCATACCCAATGCGGCTTCTCGGCTTACATTTCATCATATAATCTGGTTACTTTCAAGTGTGATCGATAAAAGTAATTGATGTTTTTTCGATAGAAATCAGTTAATTACGCTGAATACTGAAATTGAACTAGACTTGATGAAACTTTGACAGAATAAAATTCGAGATACACCCGTGAAAATGTGTGTTAAATGATACTTAAGTGATAGTTGTTTGACAGATTTGAAGTTTGTATGTCGATTGTGAAAAGTTCAGTAGCCTCTGTGGGATTCGAACCCACGCATGGACACCGCCTACGCTTTGTACGCGCATGCTCTGCCAGCTATCGGTGTGGCCTCGTAGCTCAGCTGGTAGAGCATGCGCGTACAAAGCGTAGGCGGTGTCCATGCGTGGGTTCGAATCCCACCGAGGCTACTGAACTTTTCACAATCGACATACAAACTTAAGTGATAATGAATCAATGCCTTATTCGATTTTATCGAATAACGCCGAAAGGTAAGCGCAGTATTTATTTCATGGATGCTGTGATATCTATACGAAGCTTAGATGTTCGTTTGAGTAGCAGGAGGTGGAATAATTTAAAAGTGGCTTATCATGTAATATCGAAGTACCACACATGCTACTGTGAAGGTCATTCACATTTTAGCAATTGTCAACAGTTTATACCACATCGTGTGTGACAAGCTCCCGTTGCATGTTGACCCACTTCCCTGGAATCAGATTTGCCGCTACTTAAATTAAAAGGAAATAAAGATTCATTACAAAAGGTTTCCAATCATGAATGAATCGATTTTCTATATAGCAACGATCGTTTCAGTCAGAGTGGCGAAGAAAGGAGTAAACAGAAGTCATATTTCATTGTCACATTTCGAGTGAAGTACTGAAGTCATACTCTCGTTTCACCGCCGAGGGTTCCAACATAATTTATGCCAGCTTTTGCAGACGTGAATTGCTTGGCATTTTGGATCAGATGTCATCAGCAGCTCGTGATTCCCACTCACGAGAGTGCGTCATTCGTTCAAGCGACAACATGCTCTCACGCACGCACTCAAATGAAAGTGTCAACCGTTTATGGCACGCCGATCGGAAGCTTTCTTTGATCGCAGCTTTTTAGTTATACTGTTTGGTTTGAGAACAAGAGGTGGGAATGATTGTAAAGGAAACAAGTCATGCTACGAATTCAACTACAAAAGCATGCAGCACTGGCGCAGGTTTGACTGAAAACTCATCTTCAAATCTTGATGAATACGTAATTTGCCATTAAAGTCCGTACATCTTTTCTGCAAACATACCACCATCCGTCCTTTGGGTGTGATAATATAACGGTATCGTTTGTATGTACACTTTCTAATCAGTGCTCAGAAAATATCATATTGCATCTCAATCATGTGCCAGGATGGATAGGATCTTTTATTTCTCTAATGTGAGATTATCACCTATAGGGTCACCTCTTGAATACTCCACATTCGGAGAATGCCGCTGGAATGCATCACAATACTCGTCAGTATTGTCACCTGGTGAATTCGTTTGTTACTACTTCAGCGTTCCACTTTCAGAGACGTTGTGTTGAGGAATAAGTATGGCATCTAAAGAAATTTGAATGGGGATTCTAACTATTTCCGATAGAAATTTAAACGATGCGTGCATGGGGTCAACTGATGTGTTTTTCGACGACCTGCTTGTTGACTGATAACCATATTATACATGATTTATATTTAGAAGAGATTCACTTTTGATGACTAGTAGAAAGAAATATCCTATTTTAATAACTTCCATGCAAACTTGTAGTGGTGCTTGCACAGGATCTTGAAGCCGAATGATGCGAAACGTGTATGTGTGGTTGCATTCCTGAGTACTTTGTCACACTAGTTGAAATTTTTGTTTGCATAGTGCTGATGCTCACTTCAGGTTTGAGGTTTCCAGCGTTTACAGTCACACATTATTTCCTAAAATATATCGTTGCAATATTTTCAATTTAGTTCAAACGAAGGAATGTGCCAAAACTACCGCCAACAGAACTAAGTAAATATCCATCGGGACGTAAATCGTTTAGTTGAGATCCTGATCTGAGTATGACAAATATGATACCCGTACACTACACAATGACGAAATTCTAGGTCACGGATTTTAATTTATCTGTGAATAGGAAATCGGCGAAAACCGGTAGAATTTTAAAAGTAGTCTTGAAGAAAAGATTTCTACTTTCCATATTTTCCTCTTTTAATATTAACATGGAATGTAAAACATTTTTTATCACTCCAGAAACGGACTATCTGGAAAAACGATATCACATTGGTCGAACCCTTGGTGATGGAAATTTCGCGGTAGTTCGCCTTGCTCGTCGTCGGGAGACGGGACAGTTGTACGCCATAAAAATGATTGACAAAACCAAATTAAAAGGAAAAGAGAGCATGCTTTACCACGAAGTGAGCATCATGCATCGTTGTAATCATCCGAATATTGTACGACTTTATGAGGAGTTTGAAACATCCAAAGACATTTGGTTAACCATGGAATATGTCAAAGTGAGTTTGTCACAAGTCCATTCTCCCGAGAGCAAAAAACATCAAACATTGCATGCAGTAAACATAAATATGTGTTGTTATATTCCATTCAAAGTCGACTGCTTCCTTTGCTTCCTATTATGTTTCAACTCCATTGTTACCTTTTTACCATATCTGTTAAGGTGATATATATACATATATATATTTATATGAAGTACACTTTCTAACTCAAAAATGATTTACAAATATTCCAGATATATTTATTTCCACAGCAAGTTAATCGTAGTTAGGTTGAAATAATGTTTTTCTTTTGCCTGTTTGAAGTAGATACATATTCACAATAAATGAAAGGTTTCTAATGAAAACAATAATTTAAATTTATTCCCTTTGCAGTATCTTTTAATGCACCATGTAGTCATGATGTCTAGAACGGTTTCTAGTTTATTTTGTGATGGAAGTTGTGTCTTTTCCTGAAAATTCCGATATTTCAATTAGTGAGATGTTTTCAGAGACCAGAAAGTGAAACGTTCGACTAAATTTCCAACAGTGCTATTTTAGGCCTCCAAAGCACCAAATCAATCCGAATAAGTTTTGTTCTGTCAGAGTTTATTCATCAACCACAAACACCTGTTGGCAGATAAGCCAGTTCAAACAGAATTAGGGAAGAACTGTGTATTTTTTTTTAACTTCGGTAGCAATAAATCAGCCTCTCAAATTTTGATGGTTCACTCGGTCAGGAATAGAGATAGATGTATATAGAGGCGTGCACGGTCTTGTCATGGAGTTCTAATGACAAAGGCAAATAAGAGAAATTGATAGCTGAAAGATCCAAAGTGAAGTCAGTACATTGGATAAAATGAACTGGAAGAACGACAGTCAAAGTGTTGCATTCCGGTTGCGACAATTCAAAACCAGACTAATTTGAGATACATACTTTTATGTTAAGCATTCTGTATGATTAACCACAGACGATTTTTTGAAGCAACTTACTACGCATTAATAATTGAATAGCCCATCACTTATTTGCTTATGTCCTAAAAACAAATCCTGTTCCATCACCCCACTTAACATTAGTCATTCTTTTCTGTTTCCCGTTTTCCCCACAGGATGGAGATTTATTTGACGGGATCACGAAAGCAATGAAATTCTCCGAGGTCACTGCCTCAGGAATTGTGCGCGATTTGGCCAGCGCGTTATTCTATTTGCATTGTCGCTCGATTGTACATCGGGACTTGAAACCGGAAAATGTGTTGGTACGCGATTCGGATGTGAAGGAGGAGAAGGATATGAAACTGATGATAATGATCCGGGTTGATTGCTAGTATTTTCAAAGTTGGCGCAAATATTCCGCTAGAAGTGGCTTTAAACGGTTCCCGTTTGCTAGTAGGAGAGAAGTGCAAGTAGTTTTTCGGTCTTTTAGTTAGACTACCCGTCGGTTGTTGATGATAGAGAGGAAAGAATCTGATTATATCTGTAGGGCACCGTGACATCTTCTTTGGGTCAAGTATTCGCTTTTGGTTTCTGCTGGTTTGCGGTGTACTTTGTGACCCATATGATAAAATGTAATGCAAACAAATCGTATCACTCGCGTGCTCATATATTGTGAACAAAACGAACCAAACAATTGCAGTAATGCAGGAGGTTTAATAAATAGTCCTATTCACGTCCAAACTTTGAAAACGGACTTCATGATCAATCGCAATATCTCTTTAAGAAACACAGCAGAAACCGGTACAAGTAGCATTCGCATGAAAGGCTTGTGTAATTCTTCAGTATTGACAAACACACATGGCGACTTCTCTGTGCATATTATAACTGGCTTAGCTACACCTTGCTTAACTAATCTATTTCATACAAAGCCATTTATCAGCTGATCGTTGGAGCGGAGTTCAATTGTTTTAGCTCTTGAATACCATATTTACATTGTTTGTTGACCAGGGAATTTCCATTATTAGCACAATAAATTGTTACCTGAGTTCGTTAATAAGTTCTGATAATACTGATAACGATGCACGACCAGGTATTCACGGAACAAGTGGGATAGAGGCAAACATCAATTTGGATCGGTTGGTAAACGTGATGTCTTTACCACAGAGGATTGCAAATCATACCCAGGTGGGTGAGTAGAAATGCAACACGTCAAAACACAGTGAGCTTCGGACAAACATCAAACCGATCAAGGAAGGTCTGTGCACTTTTCCAATACTGTGCAGCTTTACGCGCATACGAACAATGAGACTCAAAGTAATAATAGAACCAAGTCGAATTTTTCCGCTCCCAACTGTGTTTCCGGTACCGGAGCATATCAAAACTCGCTCACATTTTGACTCCTAATCCCACTCCTCTGACAACATCAGCTGCTTCGTTATATGCTGATTTTTTCAGCAACTCCTTGTTCGCACTGTGAGAAATTTCGTTCAGTTCAGTTTGTTTTTTCCCACTGTTGTTTTCATAGTACGGGGTAAATTCAGGTGAATCATTGGGATTTATTTATCAAAAATAGAACCTTCAAGGAGAGCAAGTCAAAGCAAATTTTGTGGTGAAAATAAATTGCTGTTATACTGACTGTCACTAATAAAATGATGCAATATTGACCGACATCTTTAGTGGATGTTACTGGAACTTCTGTTTAAACCCCTTTAAATGCAAACAAGTGCTTTTTCAACTGTGATTTTTTGTCATTTTCATGAACATCAAATTGGGGAACAGCAAATTATGTTAATTATAAACAAGTTTTTCTCGTATATTATTTTGATTGACATTTCTTCCGACTCTATCCTGACTCTCAATCCTCAGAATATCAGGTCAACGACAAAGATGGGAAGCAATCAATTTAATTTGCGCTCTTGTTAAGGATAATCGTTTGTGTTGCGAGTTCAAACTTTGAACCTCTGGCATAGAAGGCGTGTACGTCATCAGCCAGCATACATCAGACGAGGGGGGGAGGTCAGAACTAGTAATCCATATTTGTTCAGATATCGTTTTTAACGATAATCAGTCCAGTCACAACTTCACAAGCAACTGTTAGTTAGATGTGGATAAGTAAATAACCTGTTGAAAACTATCCATTTAAGTACTAGAAAAAGAGTAAAAGTAGAAGTAACTGACCAATTCAAGCAGATGGCGTAGATTTTACACTTGTTTTCTTGTCGATAAGAGGAAAACCATTTTTATTTCAGAGAGTAAAACTGTTCAATAAGGAATGAATCACGGAATCATAGCAGAAAGAGAATAGTCAAGTTCATCGGAACCACACAGACCAATAAATATGTCTACATGCTAATCAGTAGAATAGAACTGAGGTGTTTATTGTACCCCGCGAGAGAGAGCTCAAAACGGTTTGCATTCTTTGAGAAGAACCAATGCATATCAACACCCTTTATTAGTCACTCGTGAAAAATCCTGACGGTCGGGATGCAGAAAGGTTGGTATGCTTCAAGCTGAATGCGCAATAACCTTTATAGAGCGAACATAGTAGCTGTTTCCCCACCAGCAGCAACTGTCACAGTTTGTGCGCTAGATAATCACACAAACCAGTCGTCATTTACAAATCTCGATTTAAAGGCTTCTTTAAATACCCCAGAAACTCATGTGCGTTACGCTATTTTTAACCTTATCACTATCAGCATTGGTAAGTTCATTGCTCCGAAATAAACAGACAGTGAAGTTCACGTAAAACATGGTTTTATCGTGGCATTCACTTTCGTATGAAGTCTCACCACCGGGTAACTAATCTACGGAGTGGTGCTCTGTTGTTCGATTTTGGTATTCAAATCTTACTGCAAAAGTACTCTACTGTCA